TCGCGGTCGCGCCTCGTTCGCAATCGCGCATTCGAGACAAATATTTGGGACCAACATCCAACGATCTTTCCGTGAGTCAAGTTAAACGTTCGAGACACGCTGTTCGACACTGGAACTACCGAATAGAAAACGTTACCAGTGTAAACTGTTTTGTAGCAATAACGATATCGAGTTTGCTCGGACTTTGTACGATTTTTCTATTGCAGTGAATGCTTCGGCGAAGAAGTTTAGGGAAATATTTCTCACAGAAAGATCTTTTATAATTTCGATAATATTATTTATGATAATAATAATATAATATAATATAATAATATATATAATAATTATAATAATAATATATTATAATATTATAATAATATTATTATATATAATATATATAATAATATATATAATAATATTATTTATGATAATAATTTATGATAATATAAATAATGTAAATAATATAAATATAACATAAATAATTAACCAGTTAGCTGTGGCGCCCCCTTTTTAGAACGCGTGCCTATATGTGTCGCGAAAACTAAGCGACGACGAGTACAGACTCGTCAAACATAGAATAAGTGTCGCTGTTAAAATATTAGATCAAAAACACGATTTTATTTGATAAAATTAACAACTTCATTATTAATATTTACTCATTCACTTGACATCAACGTATACTGCATACGTAATAAACGAAAAACGTAGAAGAAATCAAATACTTATAAAAGTTAAAGAAAAGCAAGCCAAGTGCTTTGCACGTTGAACACCAACATCGTGATTCTTTTCTAATCTTATTTTTATAACAATGTAAACACACATTCGTGCACGATTCGCCTGAAAATATTCTAGACATCTTGAAACTGGAGAATATGTTTTTGTTTTCACTCAAAATTACAATTTAAATAGCCAATGGTCGCTACTTTTTACGCATGACGAGTATACTCGTCAAACACAGCTAACTGGTTAAATACAATATAACTAATATAAATAATTAAATATAATATAAATAATATGAATAATTTATAATAATAATACGAGTATACTCGTCATGACACAATATACTGTCGCTTCTTCATGACGAGTATACTCGTCGAACACAGCTAACTGGTTAAATACAATATAAATAATATAAATAATTAAATATAATATAACCAAAATATAAATAATTTATAATAATAATATTTCAATAAAATAACAACTCTATTTATCAACAGAACGAATACTTTGTTACACTGATAGAAAGAGAACAATAATACGGTAGCAGCCGCACGTAAGGACAGGTGAAACACGAAAACAAAAAGAAAGGGGGGGGGGGAGAAAAAGTAGAAGAAAAAGCGGAACTTGAATGTAAACACCCGAGACAGAAACCTTTGCGTTTTCTTTCGCGGAGGGTTGAAGTGCGTTCGCGCGACAAAGACGGAGAAGCCTCGGGATCGTCCGGGTGTTGAGTTAAAAAACGAGGCTCGCCTGGATGTCCGAGTCGGTATCGGGTCGCTCGCGCGAAGGCGCGTAGCGTCCAAGAGGTAGGGAGAAGACACTTAGTCCCGTGATAAACCGAAGGTGGACAGTGTTAAGTCATTCTTGAGTGGCCGTCTCGCCGGCCAACCGATCCGTCCTCTCTCGTCCACGGTGTCAGAAATCGCGTTCCGGATCCCCGGTGAACGTGTGCGCGAAAACAACCTCCTCCGGATATCCAGTCGTGTGCCAGTCGTGTACGAGCAACCGAACGTCGTTCGGGACCGAAATCGGAAGTGGGTGCCGAGAGCAAAGTCGTTCCCGCAGCTCGCAGTTGATCGGCTCCGGTGATCTGTTCGACGAGTGGATTCGTTCGTGTGATCGTTCGTTCGTTCGGGTGACGTCGATCGAGAGAAATCAAAGTTCCGCGAACGAATCGGTGAAAACAGGATCCGCGGAATTTGTCGCCGGCCGAAACGGGCACAAGATTTTTCGGGAAGCCGACGGGAACGTCGGGTCGCCTCGGTTCGTCGACGCTCCGGAAGCACGGAGCAACGTGTGTAAATTCTCCCCGATTTTCCTTCAGCTCGTAAACAAAGATGGACAATTTGGGAAGAGGGGATACGATTATCCGAGCCTCGCGCCTCGTATTTAGGATCGTCGACGATCGGCGACCGTGAAAACGAGCCCCGAGGCTCGAACAATCGTACCTCTCACCTCCCTAAATTGTCCATTTTCGCGTACAGGCTGAAGGACGATTAGGCAGAATTTATCGCGGATTATTATACGCGAAATAAAAACGCTCCGCATCGCGATTGCAACGCTGATCATTTTTCGACGTTCTTAATTTCTCCGAACTTTTCCGCCGTTTTCAATTTCGCTTACTCGTTTCTTTTCCTTCTCTTTCTTTTTTCTGCCACAAATGCATAAAAATTCCGCAGTCCGGCGATCGGTATACCGCGAGTTTTATGCGTTTACGACAGAAATAAACGAGCGAATCGCGAAACTGTGAACACGCTCAGCCACTATTTTCGACCCGTTGATATATCATCGAAAGAAGAAGCACAGTTTTTTTTTTATCTCCGTTTCCGTCTTGCAATCGACTCGGAGCATTTTCATTCCTGCGCGAAAGCAAATCCGTCGATCGCCGGTGTTCGCGTTACGCTCAACAAATAACAGTGCATTTATCTCGGTCTCGCGCGATTTTTATCATAGGTTGGATCGTCGATCCTCGTGCAAGATTTAGAAACTACTTAAATAGAAAGTTGTTCCTTTAACAGTTCGAATGGATTAGACAAGTTTCGCGATTCTTCGGATCTTTTCGCTTCGTTCGATTTTCACGGCTGCGTTCGAGGAAATCGGCGTGTCGGATTATTCCTCGTAAATTCGATTTTATAGCCTCCATAAATTTTATCGAATTTATTCGTATATATATATATATTTTATTTTATTTTATATATAAATATTATATATATATTTTATTTTATTTTATTTTATATATAAATATTATATATAATAATATATATAATAATATTATATATACAAATATATATAAATAAATATATATATACATGCGATAATCGCGAATAAAAGGTTTAAGACTCGCGATTTCGTCGGATCCCGTGTTTCCAGCGTCGAACGAACGCGCGATTCCCTTTCACAATGCCGAATCTTTTCATCGAAACTTGTTTTTTTCTCTCGCTTTTAACCAGCCCGCAGAGCATCAAAACGATCGAATACACAAAATTGAAGACGTTTACACGGAGGCGTTGCTAAAAATTACTACGACTACGTTTCAAAACGGTTTACGCATCGCTAAATTTATCTGTCTCTAATAAATCGCTAAAGACTTATATAATGCTTTTATAATACCCGTTCGCCAGTACAAGGGTTGATTAGTTGTCTGCAAGCGAAAAAGAAAAAATGAATGTTGCTATCGTTGGAACAATGTCAGGATTGTTCGCTCGACAATACCGCGATAGGAATGTAGTGAACTAATTGAAGTACGTTCCCGATTAAACCAGACGATAATTTCGATAACGGCTAATCTGGCCCCGATAAGTGTTAACGACGCGTGTGTGTGTGTGTGTGTGTGTGTTTTTTTTGCTGTCGAACCGTCGCCGGTGTCTTCGCGAGAAACGTCATTGATCACGAATTACAGTAAATTCTCCCTAATCGACGCTCAGAGTGTGCAGAAAAATGGACAATTCGGGAAGCGGAGACACGGATTATTCGAGCCTTGCGGCTCGTTTTTATAGTTGTCGACGATCGGTCAATCGGTCAATCGTGTCTCCTTCTTCCCAAATTGTCCATTTTTGTGCAATTGTCCGAGCGTCGATTGGGGAGAATTCACTGTAGTGGCCGCGATCGTGATAACTCGGAGAAGTGCGATCGATTCGAAACAATCGGGATTTCAACCGGAACCTGTCTTTACCGCGAGCAGAAGAATTTAGAAATTCGGATTCCACCTCGCGTCAGCTTTCTCCCGATGAATGATCAGAAAAATTTGCATAAAAATGTACAATGTAGTTGTCGGACACGGTAAACGATCGATTATATCCCCGCCGGTATCGCAACGTCGTAACGATAAAACAGCGTAGCGCCATTAACTTCGCGATACAAGGACGAAGATTTCGACTCGAAGGTCCGCGCGATTATCGATTCGATGCATTTGCTGATTTATCCAGCAGATCGCTGGTCCGATCAGCCAATCGTTGGGCGAGGCTAGTTCGAAAGGATTTCGTCGGAGACGGAGATGATCGGGCTCCTTGCGAAGGCAACAGAATGGAAATGTGTCGATCGCGAGCGCCGCGCCAATTAACTGACGATTCGTTGGAAAAATTCGAAGGATTACAGCGAATTCTCCCCAATTTTCCTTCAGCTTGTAAACGAAATTGGACAGTTTGGGAGGAGGAGGTGCGATTAATCGAGCCTCGCGTTCCGAAATTATTGTTCGAGCGGGAAATGATGGGTTCCCGAGGTCATTTGTAGTAACTTTTTCCTCAGCGAAAATGCAATCCGCGGCTTCGTTTGCGAGTTATCAGCGAAAAACAGTGACCAATGAGCGGCCAGATTAGCTGGCGCGAGGCGGTCGAGTCAGTGGGCGGAACTGGGCTACGACAGCTGGCTACGATCCGGCCTCTCATTGGCCACTGCTTTTTCGTTAATAACTCGTAAACGAAGCCGCGGATTGCATTTTCGCTGGGGAAAAAGTTGCTTCAAATGGCCTCAGGAACCTTCCAGCTCTCGCTTGTACAATAATTTTGGAACACCCTGCACGAAAACGAGCTGCAATGCTCGAACAATTGTGTCCCCTCTTCTCAAACTTTTTCCCATCATTTTTGCGCAGAATCTGAGCGTCGATTAGGGAGACTTCACCGTAATTGGGAACAGAATCGTCGGGGAACGGTCGCGATATGCTTGCGCAATCTCCACTTCTCGATCCGAGAAGAACGCATCGCGCAAATAGCCGGCAATCTAATCGACTCCGATATAAAACTATCTTCGTGCAGGACTCGATTTTTAAATTCTAACGTAATTACGATTCGTTAAATGTTTACATACCATTTTCCTCGCAGTTACTGCGATTAGAAATTTTCCGATTGCAATAATTTCTTCGAAGGGAAAGAAAGTTGATGCTTGTTGCGTGCCTAAATTCACTCGAATGCTTCTTAAATATCGACGACGAGAGACCAGAATTTTATTCCAATTTTAAAGGACAGAATAACTTCTACACTTAATAAATTATTCCTAGCAATTTTCGTCAAAGTACGTCAAGCGGTCAACAGACATTCGTTTCTTCCTTAAACAATCTTGACAACGTAACGCAATAGTAACTTCAAAATTGTTCGAACGTTTCCAGCGTTTCGAACACTGTCCTCTAATTTTCGCCGTAAACGCATCGAGTCCGCGGACCAATTGTTGCGCGTTGTACGGGATTCGAAAGCTAGATTCTCTCCGGAATCGGCGCGTCCGTTTCAAAAGAGGTCCGAAAATCGTCCTAATTCCGTGAACGAGGATCGGCGGAGTCGTCGACCTCCCCCCGATCCGACCCGGCGGAAACGCGATTGTCAGCGGCTTTCCCGTGCCGGTAATTCAAATACCGCGAACGAGGAAAAACTCGAGAGGGTTTTGTTCGTAGGGAAATTCCCCGTTGTAAAAAGCGTCATCGATTTTGCCGAGCGTGATCGAGATCAGTTTTCCACGTAGCACGCCCCGTTATCTTATCTAGGCGATCTGACGTTAGATTCCGCGGAGAAGATCAACGAGCATCAGTTGCGGGAGCACCGCCGTCGGTTTCGTGTCCCCCAAATAACGATAACTCGCGTTCCTCGAATTAATTGTTCGCTTTGGATGTCCAGGGAGCAGGAACATCGGTGAAACATGGGGTGAGTAACGTGACCAGGACGTGCGCGCGCGCTCGCATTAATATTAACGCGTGTGTTCGACGTAAAAATTGTATTTTTATTATCAATTTAATTTTATCATATTTTATTACATTCGACGAATCGCGCGGGATGGACTATTTTTTTTCTGTTTTAGTATTTTAGAGCATAGCCTCCTCCATAGCGTCCTCGTCGTTCGAACGGAGACACGATCCGCTGCGCTTATTTTCCCACGAAGCTACCCTCCAGACGGCTGGAGGGGTAGAAACGATCCCTTAAAATCGCCACGGCCGTCTTCTACCTGAAATTCTGCAGCCTGCCGAGCTCAGTCGCGCTCTTTAAAGCCTTCCGTCTAGTGTGCGGATCATAATTCGTCGCTGCTGCAAACTAGATTCCGACGTTCAACGTTTGTTCAACGATTTTTGTTTGCTTTCGGCCGACGTTCGCGCGAGCAAATTCGTGTTACCGTTTTGTTTGGAACGGATCTCCCAGCATTCGCTATTTATCGATATCTAATCTAGCGTTTTATCGTCCGCAATCGAGGAAGATCAATTGATACAAGATCCTCCGTGTACGAGATTATTTTTCGATTTCTTCGAATGGAGTTCCGGGATTGAGTAACGTCGCTAATACTAAAGGCCCATTGATTATTCGATTAAAGAGGTTCGACACTGTTGCGATTCTGTCGAGTTAATTTGAATTAATTTCCTGGTACCGAAACATTTGTAACAGTAATGTTCATTTGAAAATACAGATAAAGATAGAAAATAAAGATAAGAGGAAAAAGAATGATATAATAAAAGGAAAGATACAATAGACGATAGAAGACAAGATAAAACGTAATTTTACTTCGGTAATTTTACTTCGACAATTTATTTTGATAATTTTATTTTGGTAATTTTACTTCGGTTATTTAACTTCGACAATTTATTTTGATAATTTTACTTCGGTAATTTTACTTCGACAATTTATTTCGATAATTTTATTTTGGTAATTTTACTTCGGTAATTTTACTTCGACAATTTCTTTCGATCATTTTACTTTGGTAATTTTACTTCGGTAATTTTAATTCGACAATTTATTTCGATAATTTTACTTTGGCAATTTTACTTCGGTAATTTTACTTCGACAATTTATTTTGATAATTTTACTTCGAAATTTTACTCCGGTAATTTTACCTCGTTAATTTCGCTTCGTTAATTTCACCTCGTTAGATTCTACTTCGAAATTTTGCTGCGGTAATTTTACATCGACGAGTCACTGGCAGCCGGCAAAGTTGTTGATTCAAGCGAAACAGGGAAATCGATGACATAAGACGCATCTTTTGTGCAACTGTCTCCCCGTTAATTATAGATTTTCGCTCGCGCGGGCTCACGACGGAACAAATCGATGTCCCGCGTGTCCCGCCGCTTCCGGTCCCCGGTCTGCTTTCTCCCCTTTTTCCTTTTTCTTCCCGCCACGGGGGAAACTGTTATCGTGTATGGCGTTATTATCGATGGCAGCTCGAAAATCCCGGGCCGGTCACACGATCCGCGAGAAAGCGCGGTCTACGAGCATTATCCGGAAAGGAAACCGACACCGTGAACTTCGACGGCGCTTCACGCGATCGGTGTCGATTTTCCGCGTGCGGTCGCGACGCGGATTCGAGCCGGGACACGGATACCCGTCTAGCAAAAATCGACAGCTTCTTCTGCGAGAGCCCTGTGCCTCCCTTTCCCTTTCTTCGATCGCGATTTATTCACACGCACTCGGCGTCGTCGCTGCGAGATCCGTCGTCGATCTTAAAAATAAATTGCGGAACAAAAATTGCGGCTCTTCTAACCGAAAGCTTGATAAAATAAATACTAATAAAACGGTGTTGCAGATTGGCCAGAAATAGCGTGATTTATATGTTATATTTATTATCATATTTATTAATAAATAAAATATCAATAAAATAAGATATAAAGTTCTTTTGACCGAAAGCTTGATAAAATAAATATTAATAAAACGGTGTTGCAGATCGGCCAGAAATAGCGTGATTTATATGTTATATTTATTATCATATTTATTAATAAATAAAACATAAATATAAAAATGACGAGGCTGAATTTATTTAGACTTTACGCAATTCTTTTCGCAACTTGTGCTCGAACGAAGAGCAATTTACAGTATCGATGATTATTATTATAAAATACGAAGAAAGACAAATAAATATTAAAGTGTTTAACAAGTGCATGGATTTACACTGATTCACCTTGAAACGTTGCCAAAGGTTTTTAAGAAGCTAGAGGAATGTCACGATTCCATCGTAAAATCTGTGAATTTCGATATTTCAGCGAGGAACGTGCGGTCTCCGACACTGGGGGCGGTGTGAGCGATTCCGGCAAGAGACCGGAAGTCCTCAAGAGCAACCACGAGGTACGGAGGAAGATGGAGCGTGGTCTGCACGAGCGGGACCGCGTCGGCGTCCAGGACTTCGTCCTCCTCGAGGACTTTCAGAGCGAGGCGGCGTTCATCGATAATTTGCGGAAACGGTTCAAGGAAGATCTAATTTACGTGAGTAAAACGGTGATCGCCGTTCACCGCAGCTGCCTCGACGAATTACGTGGAACCGAGCCTTCGACATCTGGCTCCGCGGCGCTCGTTTCCTCTGCTAACGAACCCGATAAAGTCGGCCCGAGGAATCTTGTCTGGTCGAACACAACCGTTTCATTCACCATACATAGGCTCGCGTCATTTTTCTGCACCCGTAAAAACCGCCACTGTTGTATCAATATTTTAATTTTAATTCTATAATCAATAGATTTATCACATATATATATATATATATATATAATTATATAATAATAATAATGTAATTATTATAATTATATTATATTTTTATATTATTTTTTATTATATTATAATAATAATAATAATAATAATAAATATTATAATACATAAATTATATTATATATACATATATATAACTTATAATATAATATAATATTATTATATATATATTATAATAACATAACATAATAATACTATAATTATAATATAATAATATATAATAATAATAATAATATAATTATAATAATTATATTATTATAATATATATATGTAATATTATATTATGAGTTATATATATGTATATATAATATAATTTATGTATTATAATATGTAAAAAATATAATAAATCGCCGGTCGATCGTGCAAGATTTTGCAGAAATATTCGCGGATCGACCGCAACAAACGGTGAACGGTATCGTTCGGATAAGCTGTCTCACAGTTTTGCAACAATCTCTTCGATTAGCAGTCTCCTTATCGATTCAATAATGCAGGAGGTATTTCTGGATCAATCGTCGATTCGACGTGATATAATCAAGAATAATTGAACGGAGTTTGCAGCAACGTTTTCGACGATGTTGAAAATGATTTGCGCTAACGGTATCGCAGCCGGTTCGCCGACAGCGCGATAATTTAATTATTCAAGCTTGAAAGCAGCGTTTCCGGCGGCACGATCCGATAATTTTATTAACAAATTAAGCCAGCCTGTGTCCGACGGACGCGAAAAGCGTTTCTCGCCGCTTTTTTCGTTCGTATCGTCGCACAGAATTGTTTATCGACAGTTTATTCGATCTATTTTCCAGACGTACATCGGCCAGGTACTCGTTTCCGTGAATCCCTACAAGAAGCTGCCGATCTATGATCCAGCAACGATCCAGTACTATCATGGACGGAACTTCTTCGAAGCGCCACCGCACATGTAAGCCATCGATCGGGGATAATTTTGAATAGTATTTTAGTGAGAATATTTAGTTTTTGAATAGCAGCGGTTAGAAAGATCGTAAGATTTACGATGAGAATTATTTTTGTTACAGTTTCGCGCTGGCAGACACCGCGTATCAGTCTTTGTCCAAGGAGAACTTGGACCAGTGTATTCTCATCTCAGGTACCGAGGACAAATACCTGCTACTTCGACGATATTCCCTGTCTTCTATGATCGATAGTATTTCTTTGAAATGGACGATTTAGAACGGTGTCACGATTTAAATATTTAGGGGGACCGGAAAGTAATGTCGTTTCTGCGCATATTTATCTGTTTGAATTTAATGTAAACAAACGACATAACTTTCCGGCCCCCCTAATAATTTAAGGGTGAATTACCCCGTGCGAATGTCTTGTCTGTTATAATAGTAAATACAGGCAACTTATCATAAAATACCGAGTAAAATGCTGGACGCATAATACTTGTAAGTACAGTAAATTCTCCCTTGGGAACAAAAGTGGACAATTTGGGGAGAAAGAGGTACGATTAGTCGAGCCTTGTCAACAACCATGATTGTCAACAACTATAAAAGCGTAATAATATATATATATATATATATATATATATATATATATATATATATATAAAATATATATAAAAAAAGCTATAATAATCGTACCTCCTCCTCCCAAATTGAGAATTTACCGTGCCACTTCGAGCGAGTAGAAAATTTCTACTCGCTATAAAAAAAAAGCTATAATAATCGTACCTCCTCCTCCCAAAATTGAGAATTTACCGTGCCACTTCGAGCGAGTAGAAAATTTCTACTCGCTATAAAAAAAAGCTATAATAATCGTACCTCCTCCTCCCAAAATTGAGAATTTACTGTGCCACTTCGAGCGAGTAGAAAATTTCCTCCGACGAGATTCATTTGCGCAGACACGCACAGCGTAATTACTTAAGCAGCAAACTCGTTCTAACGCGTCGTCCGAGTATTTGAATAGGTAAAAGTAGCTTCTGATCATTTTTATACGCGGAGAAATCCGCGTTGTAGTTCTCCGGATAGCAAAATGATTCGAGGACGTTGCAAAAGTTTACACGGCGTTGTACACTGATCGATCTGCGTAGGCGAATCCGGTTCCGGGAAGACCGAGGCCTCGAAGAAGGTCCTCGAATTTATCGCAGCGGCCACCGGCCACAAGAAGCAAGTGGAGGAAGTGAACGATAAATTGATCGGTAGCAATCCGGTGCTCGAAGCGTTCGGAAACGCGAAAACTAATCGCAATGATAATTCGTCCCGTTTCGGCAAGTACATGGATATCCAATTTAATTTCCAGGTACAAACGGCCGAACATATTATTCGTTAACCCTTTCGGTACGAGCGCGTTGTCCGCCGTGACACTCTCCCACTGTTGTACGGGGTGCCGCGCCGAAAATGCGCACATAACTTTTGTACGAAGATTTTCTTTAACACGTTGAATGCCACGGGGGTCACCGGTGACCGGCACTTAACTTGGCGGTGACGCCATGGGGGCCACCGGTGACCGGCGCACCCAAATTGATAGAAATATATATAATTTAAAACAAATGTCAATATCAAAAATTTTGTATTATTACCATCGTCAATTCAAACAGTGATGATTTTGCAGATAATATTTCAACATTATATGTATCACATAAAAGAAAATTCATCGTGGCGCCACGGACAATTTCTGTAAAACCGGCTTGGCATTCAACGTGTTAAGCGTTAAGCAATGACTGTGCTTAATCCGTTTCTAAATCTTTCTTCAAATGTTTCCTGTAAACATTCTGTAAAGGGCCTACAGAAATATGGCTTACATGGACGCCAGATGTATTCGGCACTCGTCCATATTGGTCATCGGATGGATGCCGGATATATCCGGCGCTCGTACCGAAAGGATTAATGCCTCTTTATCTGTTCTCGCATAACCGAGACACTGTCGACCGGTCCGAGGGAGACAAATCATCTCTACATAATTACGTTTCTTCGCAGGGAGACCCGATCGGCGGTAACATACTGAATTACCTGCTCGAGAAGTCGCGAGTCGTGCATCAATTTACCGGTGAGAGGAACTTCCATATTTTCTATCAATTGCTGGCTGGAGCCAGCGACGAGACATTGAGGGATCTGTTCCTCAAAAGGAACTTGGACACTTACTATTACCTCTCCAACGGAGTAAGTTAAACAGATCGATCAGATTTTGTCGGTACAGTTGTTCGAACGTTCGATTTATTTTTTAGACAAAGGGTACCGTGGATAGCATCGACGATGGCAGTCAGTACAAGGAGGTGATAAACGCTATGAAGACCATGGAGATGAACCAACAGGAACAGGACGATCTATTCGCCATAGTCGCTTCTGTGTTGCACTTGGGAAACGTTGGTTTCACAGAGGAAGATGGCGTCGCTCAGATATTAAAGCCTGGCTCGGTGGAAGCTGTTGCCACTGTAAGGCTTCTTCCTTAGAAATAATTTAGCTAGCCGAAGGTACCCTAGGTTGTCCCTGTTACACCGCGAAATGTCTGTGCCACTTTCTAAACTTTTAATTAGAATCGACTATTATGTGAGTCACTTGGTAGGGAACGGTCTCTTTTATTCTTTAAAAGGAAAATCCCCCTTGAGTAATTAGCTTCAGTGGTTCTTGCCGGCAGCGGGCAACGGTACGCCGACCAGACAGCAAGAGCCATTGAAGTCTGCTCTGAATTTCGTACGGGGAAAGTGGCCTTGGTAAAAGCAGACCTTTGCTCGACACAAGTCAAATTGATTCGCAGTTGCTGGGATGCGACGTGAAACAATTAGCGGATGCGTTTACACACCGCACAATAGACGCCCGCGGCGACGTGGTCGTATCACCGTTGAACAGGGAGCTGGCAATTTATGCACGCGACGCACTGGCCAAAGCCGTATACGACAGACTGTTCACGTGGCTCGTGACCAGGTTGAATAAATCACTGCAACCGGTCCACGATCCTCCGCGCAAGATGGTCATGGGAATCCTGGATATATATGGGTTCGAAATCTTCCAAAAGAACAGGTACGCGTCCTCCCCCCCTGTAACAGGATTACAAAACCCGTTGAACGACAGCTCATTAGCGGCATTGTCCTAACAGCTTCGAGCAGTTCTGTATAAATTATTGTAACGAGAAGTTGCAACAGTTGTTCATTCAACTGACACTGAAGTCCGAGCAGGAGGAGTACTTGAGGGAGGGTATCACCTGGGAGAATATTCAATATTTCAACAACAAAGTCATTTGCGACCTGATCGAGGAGAAGCATAAAGGTGATGTGACAATTTTTGATTGGAACGCGCGTTGAATGATTTCTTTATCGTTGTAATTAATTTTGGCGTCGATTCGTTTTAGGTATAATATCGTTAATGGACGAGGAGTGTCTTCGTCCGGGCGACCCAACCGACCTGAGCTTTCTGGAGAAGTTGAATGTCAATCTGAACAATCATCCTCACTACATAAGCCACATGAAGGCAGACCTGCAGACGCAGAAACTTATGGGGCGAGATGTAATATTCTCATTTAATTCACTCACCGTTCAATTTTCAAATGTTTTTCTGCTTGTTCAATGTAGTTATGGATTACAGGAATTCCGATTGGTACATTACGCTGGCGACGTGACGTACAATGTCCGAGGATTCCTTGAAAAGAATAATGACCTACTGTTCAGAGATTTGCGTGAAGTAATGTCGAATACAACGAATTCGATTACCAAGGTATTCACGAGGTTTCGTTTGTCTCTACGCGAAGAAATTTATTTATTTAATTTTCTTAATAAAAAAGAAATTGTATCTTCTGCAGAGTGTGTTTGACGTCAAAGACTTGACTAGTAAAAAGCGACCAGAAACGGCTGTCACACAATTCAAGAACAGTTTGAACAACCTCATGGAGATTCTCATGGGCAAGGAGCCATCCTACATTCGTTGCATCAAGCCTAATGACTTCAAGATGTCGCGTACGATCATTTACTATGTTTGTCGTAATTTTGCAGAATGTTTCTTTTTATTTCTTACAAGAGAGATTTTCATTGCAGATCAATTTAACGACAAGATTGTACTGCATCAAGTGAAGTATCTGGGTCTTATGGAGAATTTACGAGTTCGGCGAGCTGGTTTTGCCTATAGGAGACCATACGAACAGTTCTTACAACGTTATAAGTCCCTCTGTTCAGAAACTTGGCCCAATTATCATGGATCAGCCAAAGATGGTGTACAGATCCTTGTGTGTTCTCTTGGGTTTGAAGAAGAGGAATACAGGATGGGCAAGTGAGTGTGATCCTTATGTATTTATTGCACGTTTGCTTCTAGAACGACTAAATAAGTTTTTCCTTCCCTGCAGCACAAAATTGTTCATTCGATTCCCGAAGACATTGTTCGACACAGAAGACGCCTTCCAGATGAAGAAACACGATATAGCTGCTATTATTCAGAGTAAATGGAGATGTATATTAGCTAGACGAAGGTTCTTGAGGATGAGGAAGGCATCTATGATATTGCAAAAGAATATTCGAAGATGGCTGGCGATGCGGGAAGCTGACAGAAGACGAAAAGCAGTTATTACTATTCGAAGGTATTGTCAATTAACTTTAGGTGTCTCAAAGACGTTTTAATAAATAATAATATCGGTAAATAATTTTTGCACAGGTTCATCGAAGGATTCATTACGCGAAACGGACCACCGACTGAAATCAATATGGCATTTATCGAATTGGCGAAGTCGCAATGGTTGATCAAGCTCTCTAAAACACTCCCTGTTGGCGTTTTGAATAATTATTGGCCATCATGTCCTTATTCCTGTCGAGAAGTGAGCCC